AAAAAAAAAAGAGAGACCGACCAAAAGATAAAATATTACTGATGAAGAAATAGTTTTGTATTCGAGATCACTGCAAAAAGTGCAGCCTTACCTAATGTCCACTAAGGTTGGGCGATTAGACGAATATATCGACTATCAACAATAGGTTGAGCCTTTCGCCGACTGTGTTTACAAGACGAATTTTTTAATTTTTTTGCCCATGAGTAAGTATAATAATAATGTTGGTTGAAGGCAAGAGAAGCAGTCAACGGGAAATATACAGTAATAGTGATGTTTTAACGGCATGAACAAATGCAGCGATTCATTTACTCAAACTCAGAATGAAAGAACAGCAGTAGTCTATGTTCAGGAAAAAACTAAACATTTAATTTAAATAAAGAAACCGCAATGGTGGGTAGGGATACAAAGAAACTGTCTTCTTCTTCCACTTTAACTGTGTTCCAGTGTTTATGTCTTAGACACTCGACCAAACAACAAATAAGTTAAAAACCAACATGTCACTTCCAGCGACCATAAAAAAATATCAGAGGTAAAGTTAAGGTTTTTTGTGCAATTTGGTGCATCTCAAATAAATAAATGAATAATCCAAAAAAGTATGTTTCTGTTAACACAGAAACTCCAACAAGGAAAACTTTCTATTTATGTTCTAGATGCGCAAATCAGTCCGTGCATGATTACATTACTCCGCCCATTAACAAGTCACCTGCGCGAATATGTTGGTTATCATCATTTGTTTGACTGACGATTGTTGGTTGGAAAATTTTTAAATCTCGCCCAACCTTAATGTCCACCTTACTGTTAATCATTTTGGGATTGCTTTCAGAACTGCACACGATAATTTGAAGCTAGCAGGTTGTTAATGCTATCCATCAAGTTTAACAGTCTATGAACTAACTTTAGCTAACGTCAGGTAACATTGTTAGCTGATGTCAGTGTTAGCTGACATCACAGCAATATCACATCGAAGCTACTGAAGTGGCACATAGCCCAGGTAGCTACCACAACTAAAATGAGATATTTGCAGTAGGCTAACGTTAGTTTTTAAAAATAACTTACTTGATTTGTTAGGTTGGAGGTGGAGTTTTTGGCGAGGAGAGCATCTTCTTTTTTTGCATTGCACTGTTAAATTTCGCCCATCCCTTTCTTCTTTGAATATGAAATGGTGTTGGAACTTCCAAGTCCGAAACTCTGTTGCGCTGGCGCTGGCTCCGGGTCCATCGTGTGATTGACGCCACCAACAGGACGCGTTTTCTTTTTACAGCCTCTTCTCGAGTGTTTTGTTTGGGTTTCCAGCCGCAATGCGCAGCGTGGAATGACCAGAATTACAGAGGACCGCCATGTAATCCATTTATAACAAAGTAACTGTATTCTAAATACCACCCTTTTAAACAGTAACTGTAACGGAATACAGTTACTCATATTTTGTATTTTAAATACGTAACGGCGGTACATGTACTCTGTTACTCCCCAACACTGATCAGAGGGTTGGTGGTTCAATCCCTGCTGAATATACTGGACGGGATACTAAACCCAACTTGCTCTCTGATGCATCCATCGGAGTGTGAATGTCTCTGATTGTTAGATAGAAAGCAGTTAAATAGAAAAAGTTTTTGTGTGAATGGATGAAAGAACCTAGTTGTGTGAAGCTTTGAGAAAATAGAAAAGCTCCATTTAAAAACCGTATATATGGACTGCCCAGCTGATTGGCCAATGTCAGACGAGAATAAAAACAAACATTGGCTACTCAGAGCTTTAGACTCTTCCTTCCACCCAACCCTTTCTACATTTCCTCAGTGCAGTAATAATATGTTTATAGCTGCTGTGGTCTGCGTCTCATCACACAGTTGTCTTTGCATTGGGGAAGAAGCACTAACAATATACAGGCTGGATTCCTGATTAGATGCTCAGCTACACTAAGCAGCTGAACATGTCACTTCTGTCACGCTACACTGCTCGTTCACTTTCTGCAGCCTGCCCATCAGCTTACACTCAAACCTCCAGCTGCTGGGAGGAAAACAGTCTCCACTTAATGGTTACGACATGATTAAATCGTAAATTTGTGTGTCTTTGAATGTGCGCTTACACTGCTGTGTAGTGCTGTTTCTAAGCCACCAGGTAGTTTTACTCTTTAAGCTTTCACATAGACTGCTGTGTGTTTTCCTTTAATGCTGTCCTCAGATGTAGGATCAGCATCCCCGCTCTCTCCTCCCCAAAGCAACCTGCACGCCTCTGACTCTCTGTTCACGGTGACTAACCTTTATATTTTACTTTTAATGACCAATATTAGATTTGCCCTGTAGCTTCACACTAGGTGTAGTGTAACATTACTCTTTATGTAACACAGAGATTGCTGTGGGGCACTAAAACGGGGAGTCTTTCCACATGTCTGTTTTAAAGCCATCATGTCTCTCTGAGTAAACATGTCATCATAGATCAACATTACTAATAAGCAGGCGAAGGAAAAAGGAGGAAAAGTCACTTCCTCTGATAACCTGTTCATATACGCTGCTCCTGACAGTTTCAGTTCTGTAACTGGTAAACAGAGACTTCTTCACATCTTTGCATGTTAGACACTAAAGTGCAAACATGTGTAATACAAGAGAGAGCAGTCGATCATGTGACTTCCTGGATCAGCCACAGCAATGTCTCCAGCTAAGTCCTGCAGTTGACCAGCTGAGTATACATCTGTGTAGCTTTAGTCTTTCCTTATGAGATTGTAGATTATAATATAATGCAACCCTTTTGATGCATATCACTGTATCGTATGTAATAGTATTGTACAGTGTGGCTGTATGCATTCCCTCTGTATGTTAGGAGTCAGCAGTTCACAGCAATGACTGTATCAAATATAACACAGTCAGTGCGCCCCAGGGTGGCTGTGGCTACAATGTAGCTTGCCATCACCAGTGTGTGAATGTGTGCGTGAATGGGTGAATGACTGGATATGTAAAGCGCTTTGGGGTCCTAAGGGACTAGTAAAGGCGCTATATAAATACAGGCCATTTACCATTTACCATAGAGTCATTGGTTCAAATCAGAGAGAAATCCATTCGGGTTCATTTCACGCTGCTAACATGAGAAAAGGTCTTTAATCACTTCACCTTCATGACGGCGCCTCACCTCTCATGCAACAGGCTGAATTACATAGATACATGTTATATAGTGGTGCAGCGGATCGCGGTTGATCCGTAATCTGAACCGATCCCACTCCAAGGTTCGGCACGCACGTGGTCCGAAGATTCGAAAAAGAAGAAAAAAAAGTATGTGTATGGTGCGCGTGGTAGGTCTGTCAAGCGATAGCTATGGCCAGCGCTAGCGGTCCAAGTGGAGGAGCAGAGGAGTTTGTGGCATTTAAGCAGCCCTTTGCTGCCCAGCCCGACCGGGCTAAAGCTATTACAGAAGCTACTGGGTGTTTAGCTGCAGACGGGAGGCCGTATTCTGTTGTGCAAAACAAGGGGTTTAAACTATGATGAATGTGCTTGAGCCACGCTATGATATCCGGTTGCGCGTCCACTTTAGTGGCAAGATCATTCCAAGCATGTATGAGCAGGAGAAGTTTAAAGTTATGGCTGAACTGTCCCAGGCATCTTCTGTTGCCCAACTACTACAAATGGGTGGAGCTCCAGGGCAACGGAAAACTACGTGACCGTGACCGCTCATTATATCACAGCGGAGTGCGATGTAATGAGCGGTGTGTATTATTGTAGGGTCTACCTTACAATATAAAGCACCTTGAGGCGACTGTTGTTGTGATTTGGCGCTTTATAAATAAAACTGAATTGAATTGAATTGAGTGGTAGATACAAAGCCCTATACTGCACTATATTGTACCATAATTTTTTTTAATAACTGCGTGGAATGAGTCTTGAGTTGAATGTTTTTAACAGGCAAAAAATACTTCAATAAGTAAATGTTAAATTTTTGTCTTTTTTCTTTTTTTGCTGATCCGAAAATTGATCAGATCCGAACTGTGAGATTTTTGATCCGTTGCACCACTAATATGTACACATAAATAATTAAACTTACACATCAAATTATATCATATAAATTACAATTCACTGGTTTCATATTTAAAAAAATATGTAATGTAAATTATTCGTTGTTACCAACCTCCTCTCATTCGATCCTGATCTTTTCATGTCTTGTGCCAGCTGTAGATCGACTGCTCAGCCCGGGAGGGACTGTGTGGTCACAGAGCAGTGATGGATCCACAGTGGATCCAGCCAAATCTGTTCAGGGGGGTACTGATCAAGTAATAAGAACACATTTAGGAAAAGCCACAATCCAACCAGACTGTAACTTGCCCATCGTCAATGTAGACGACGTGTTATCAGATGTGAGCCACGACACCAGTGAGGAAATATCATGTGATGAGCCTGAAACCTGCTGTCCAGGCCAACATGGTGCAGCCCTGTGTGAGAAGCCTCCTTTGGAAGCCAGAGATGAAAAGGGTGCTGCCTTTCTGATGAATAAATGTGTGAACCAACAGAAAGAAGGCAGCTCTGCAGTTTTCAGCGGATCAGGTCCAGAAAAATCAAATCCTAGTTGTAAACACATGGATCCCACTGTAGATGTCAGTGGTTCAAACAGTGACTGCAGTGCAGTGGTAAAGAACATGGCAGATGGTATTGGTGGTGTCTCTTCTACACGGTCACCATGCCAGTTTCTTAACAGTACAGCACCTGTTTCTGCTACAGAGCCACACTTTGACAGAGTTAAAGCGTGTGCAGCATCCAGACACACGAGCGTTTACAGAAACCATGCTCCACCAGCAGCCCACTCCGTCACTGAAAAGCTGCATGCAGACGTCTCCCAAAGATCAGATTTACTGAGGTGTGACGACACACAAACATATTCAGTGGAATCCAACCCCTCAGGCTCCAGGCTATCCAAAATGTCAGCGTCAGTGAGCAACAATCACAAAGTCGTGCAGTGTAAAGATACGTTAAAGCCTGACGCTCGCTCCTTACCTAAGACAAGCTCAAAGCTGAAACACCTTGGTTACTCAGACAGTCCTGTGTGGAGGAGTAACTTCAGACTTCAGGTTGAAAGTGGTCCTTCCACATTTAAAGGTTTGAGTATTAAAAAGAAGAACAGCCCAGAGGAGCCTCTTCAAAAACTGTTGGGGAGTCCAGTCCTTGCAGATACAAAGGCTTCCTTCAGACAGTCAACAAATCCAGCAGCTGTGGTAACCATTGGGATTTTGAAGCCCACTAACCAGCCTGATGTCAGGAGTGGCCTAGCTGTGGCCGGAGCAGGTGACACAAAGCAAATAATGACTGAGCATGGAAATTCAGATGGAGCTTTGCAAACTGTGCAGCTGCCCAAAAAAGATATGCACGTAGGTTACGAAGCAAAAGCTGAATCACATGGACCTGCCACTCAGAGGACATTCATGGAAGTGCGACTGTCTTCCTCCTCCTCCTCCTCATCATCATCATCATCATCATCATCAGCAGCAGCAGCAGCAGCAGCAGCAGCAGCTATGTCACATAGAGACAAAAAGGTTTCAAAAGAAAATAAACACAGAAATGATACAGATGCACGATTAGCAGCAATGCATTCATCCACTGTCACCGCAGAAGAAAGAACAGCTGCCTCGGTCACCAACACAGCATTTCATTCACTGTCTTCTACAGCAGCTCATTCAACAAGTAAAGGTTTCAAACCTGTGACAGTTATGGAGACAGAAGAGACAGCGAAGTCCAGCACATCCAGACTGTCCACACAGACCCTGTCCACACGGACCCTGTCCGCACAGACCCTGTCCACACAGACCCTGTCCGCACACACTGCCTCGTCTGCAGGGTACAGTCCTTTCTCTGTCCGACATAAAATCAAATCCTTTGAGAATCTGGCTAATGTTGACAAGCCCCTGGTGAAAAGCAGTGATCCTCAGCCGTATGCGCTGGCATATAGAGCCCCGCTGAACCAAAGGATTGCAGGTTATATGGAACTGGTTAATGCTGTTGACTTCCGGACACGGCAAAGGAGTTTTAGCTCTTATGTGGAAAATCTGCTTCCAGCCACATCCTGTTCTCTTCGTCTTCGTAAGTCTTCTGAGAATGAAGTTCACAAAGCTCCAGATGGGGCTGCACCACACACTCCTCCAGTGCTGCGCAAGAAACATGGCAGACTTCTCTACAGTAGGTTACGGCAGCTCAGGGCTCTCAGCATGCCTGAGCTGGAAAAACTGTGCAAAGAGGACGCTGCAGGAGGGTGCAGCAATGCTGATAAAACAGACTCTGACACCCAGTCCACTATAGCCCCAGTGACTGACAGCTTTCCAACCTGTGCAACTCCAGTGAAAGCAGATTTGAACAGCGTTAACCACAGTGAGGCTGAAGTCACTGAAGAGACTGCTCAGAGGACCCGAGAGACCCATGGCCGGCAGCTCGGCTGGTCCATCAGGTGAGACTTTAAACCAGTCATTGTAAATCACAGCAGCTGCTTTGCTCCAAACATAACTGTGAAATGTGGGTGAAAAAAACACATTAAATGTCCTGATTCGATGGCTTTTTCTCTGCAGTTTAGAGGAGCTGTCGGCTTCACCTGTGAGTCAGTGTAAACTGCAAACACTGCTGTCCTCACTAACAGCGAAAGCTTACATATCAACCCTGCTTCAGCAAACCAAGGTAATGTCTCACTGCAGATACAGAGTC